TTCAACTAATCAAGGCAAGAAACACTTACATTTGTAGGATTGGAAGGAAAATCTTGAAGATCCTTGGGAGAGAATCCGATTTCTCTACTTGGAAGGTGAAGAATGAATGAAATGACTAAGTGCCACATATATACTATGGTTTTACGGCCACCATGTGTGGTTACGGCCGTAAACCCATGGTCTTGGCCGTAAACATCTCTTTTGAGTGTTTATGGCTATCTTGATGGGTTACAACTTCAGTTGGCACTTCCGTTTACTCAATCCTTGGATGAATTAGTTCAGAATGCTCAGACGGACTCTAAACAAGGCCAAAAGTTAGCAGGAACAAGTCTAACTTTGATTGGATTGAATGATTGGTACAAGATTGAAATTTCGGGTTGTCACATCATCCCCCCGTTAGAGGGAATTTCGTCCCGAAATTAGGGTTTAAGCAACTAAGTCATTATAAATAACTAAGCAATAAGATGAGGATATTTCGTTCTCTTTTGATCCTCGCGCTCCCGAGTGAATTCCGGTCCTCTCTTGGCGTTCCAGCGAACCTTCACTATTGGGATACCGCTTTGCTTCGTTCGCTTGACCTCTCGGTCCATGACGTCTACAGGTTCTTCCACGAAGTTGAGGCTCTCGTTGATCTCGATCTCGTCGAGTGGGATTACAAGAGTCTTGTCGGACAGACACTTTTTCAAGTTCAAGACGTGGAAAGTAGAATGTACGTTACTAGGTTCGCGGGGGTAAGTTGAGTTTGTAAGCTACAGGGCCGATTCTAGCGAGAATCTTGAAAAGCCCTTCGTAATTTTCCTGTCAGGTTTTCAATCGTCCATTAATTTGAACGATCCACTCTATCGATTTTCGAAAGATCTCCTGACCTTCGGAGCAATTTCTACTGCCTCTAAATCTAGATCGTGTGTTGCATAGCTGGCTTCGAGTGTCTTAAGCTGACGGAAGGCATAGGTAATGACCTTTCTTCGTTGCATCAAAATGCAACTGAGCCCTGGATTTTGATTCATCACGATAGAACAGAAAGTCTTCTATTCCTTTTGGGAGGGATAGTATCGGTGTGGCGCATGAGGCTTGCTTCCGCATTTGGAACGCTTTCTCCTGCTCCCCTTCCCAGTCAAGATCCACGCTCTTCTGGGTCGAAGTCATATGAGGCTTCGCAAGTCGAGAGAAGTTCTAAAAGAACCTACTATGGTAGCCTGCGAGACCTAGAAATTTACGAATTCCTGTAGGTGTGTCTTCGGATCTGACAATTCTCAATCGCCTGGATTTTGGAAGTGTCTACTTGAATTCCCTCTTCACTAACAACGTGACCCAGGAATTTGACCCTTCGAATCCAAAACTCGCATTTATGAGAATTTCACGTGGAGCCTCTCCGATCGTAATGTTTCCAAGACCTGTTGAAGATGTTGACTATGCTCCTCCTTACTACGAGAGTAGATAAGCATGTCATCGATGAAGACGATGACGAACTGATCCAAGTAAGGGCGACACATCCTATTCATTAAATCCATGAATACTGCGGGCGCGTTTGTTAATCCGGATGGTATCACTACAAACTCGTAGTGTCCATAATGAG